GACCCCAGATGGGGTTTTAGAGGAGCAGCTGGTGAGCTTGAACCACCAACCTTGCGGTTCAAACTAACTTTGCAGTCCAGAGGATTAACCTACAGTGCCACACAAGGACATTAGTGAATGCTAAAATGGGCAATTTGAGGCAAAGTAATTGGGGCAGATGAGGCAATGATTATGATTACTGGAATAAATCAATCTGAGTCTTAGTTTCAGAAATGGTTAGCACACAAGGGAGGAAGCCAGAAAGGCATAATGGCTCGGCTTAATTTTATAACATTCAAATTAAGTCTAAGAATTAAATGCCAGTGTAAGTTGTTAGGCTGAAAAGGCTAAGTTACCTTATGATTGCAGCAATACTACATCCTGGAAAATACAAAACTATAGAGACAAAACGTTGGTGGAGGTACAGGGAAAAAGGGGCAAAATGAATAAGTAGGACAGGGGCATTTTTAGGGCAGTTATTCTGTACCATACTACAATGACATTAAGCATTTGGAAAAGCCATTAGGCAGTAGAACACACAGAGTGAACACAATGTAAATTAAATGGTATATTTTAGTTAATAAATATGTACCAATAGTGGTTCATCAACTGTTACCAAATGTTCCACACTAATGCAAGATGTTAATAATAGGAGAAGAAGTATTAGTGGGTAAAGGGTATAACTTTTCTGTAAACCTGAAACTTCTCTGAAAAACAATGTGAAAAAATTAAAGGACAAATAATATACCATAGATCCTAAGATAAGCAAATGGGAGTAGAAAAGGAAAAAAGACTAAGACATCTAATAAGAGTTCTTACAGAAATGATGCTCCTTGCCGTAAAGATCCTTCCAGTCAATTCCTCTCTTATGGTACTTCTAGTAAGTTCGAATCATCTTTCTATTCTGTGATAGCCAAATTTATTTGTGTGCCTGCTTGTTGTTGTTGTTAAGTGCCGTCGAGTCGTTTCCGACCCATAGCGACCCTGCACAGGGTTTCCAAGGCTGTAAATCTTTACGGGAGTAGAACGCCTCATCTTTCTCCCGCAGAGCAGCTGGTAGTTTCGAACTGCTGGCCTTAAGGTTGGCAGCCCGATTCGTAACCGCTATGCTACCAGAGCTCCTTGTGTGCCTGCTAGTGATCATGATTTCCATCTGCCAGCTGGTTTTCTAATTTTTCAGTTTCTAGAAATTTATAAACAGAGAAAATTTGATAAAAATAACTTGATATAATGTGATGTGTTGACACATTAAAAGGATCTGGTTGTTGCCTAACCAAGATTCTATTCCTATTCTTAAATACTTCTCTAATAATTACTTACAACTTAAAAATCCATCTAACAAATTCCAATCCAAAATACAATTTACCATGAAATTTCAGGTAGCTAAGGAAAAGAAAAGCAATTGCAAAGAGATGTCAAAAAGAAGAAAAAGATGGGAAAACATATAGTGAGTTTCAGTTTCTCTTAGCAATTTTCAAGTGAAATGTAATTGTTGTAATAAATGCAGAACAACCATTAAATAGCTAGTAAGAAAAAATATGAAAGCTGTCTTTTGAGATAATACTGTCACAAAGTTAGGCAAAAGGAAATTATTTGAATGATTCACTTAAAAAATAAATTGAATAGTTCTGAATCATGCAATTAAACAGTTTTATCTGTGAAAACCAAATATAATAGTAAGTTTTAACATGTAAAATATAATCCTAAATTTCAACATGTAACCAACAGAGTACTATACCAAAAGATGCCTTTCTTGATGGCAAAATGACTAAGAAATATAAACTAAAATTACATAGTATTGAAAGGGAGCCTACCATTTTTCCTTTTCATTTAAATCAACTGTCAAGAAGAAAAATGTTGCAAGTTAAAGAATAAAACAAACAAGTCATCATAATAAAGGAGACATGAGAACTTCTGGAATTAAAAAATTAATAAATAAATAAAGTTGGCCCCTCTCAATAATGTAAAGCACTGTTAAAAAGCCGATTTCCATAGGAAATAAAAGGATCCATAAGTTATCCTGGAAGGAACACTGGTGAGTCAATGGTTACGCATCAGGCTGGTGGTTCAAATACCACCATGCCCTCTGCTGGAGAAAGATGCGGCAGTCTCCGTAAAAACTGTAGCCTTGGAAGCATTATGGGGCAGTTCTATTTTGCTCTATAGGGTTGCTATGAATCAAAACTGATTCAAAGGCAACAGGTTTCAAGTAATTCTGAAAGAAATGGTTACTGTGGTGACTTTAAAACTTGTTTGCAAATTCTGACCCCACTCCCTGGCTCCCTACAAATGGTGTGCCAAGACTTCCAGCCATGTTGTTAATGAAAATGAGGAGAAGCAATGCTTCTGATTTATAAGACTTGGTGATGAAAAGAGTGCAACTGCCTGGTGTCTTCTCTCTCAGGATGCTTGTCATGAGAATCCAGTCACCATGTTGTAAGAATACCCAGGATACATGTAAAGCTCATGTGTGGCTCCTGCAGGACTCCCAAATGACACAAGCATCCATGGCCAGGTGTGAGCCTTGAGAAATTCCAGTACTTAGTCTTTGAGTGGGAGCTTGTGACCCAGACATTGTGGAGTAGAGACCAGCTATTCCTGACATGTCCCCTGCAACTTCCTAACCCACAGAAGTGGTCTGAACTGATAAGAGACTGTTGTTTTTTTTATCAGCTAGCTAACTAACTAACCAATAAGGTTTAGTTTCCTGGTGTGGCCCTGTGGAATCAAGCACTGGACTGCAAGGTAAATTTGAACTACAGGGTAGGCGGTTCAAACTCCCCAACCTCTTTCAGGAAACTCTGTAGAGGGTTGCCATGAGTCGGAACAGACACGACAGCACTTAACAACACTTAACGACAATAACAGTTTCCTCGAATGTACATACATTTAAACTGGAATGACTTTTTTCAGACAAAAAAAAAATAACCTGTATATAAATCAATTATAATTAAATCCTCCATTTATTAAGTTTAGTATGTTTTATTTAAATAATATAATTAAACACTAAAAATTGAACTTTCCTCATTTGAAATCTAAAACGATTCAGAGTACATATCAGGATTTAAGCTGAATGTCATCAATAAAGTATTTCTGGAAATAAGAGTTTAGGTAGCCCATGCAAGAATACAAAAAGGATACTGAAGTTATTTAAAAGAATAAATTGCTTTGAAGAGGTTTAAGAGTTCAGCACTCTTCACAAAGAGGGCACTCAATAGTACTAATGCTAAATGAACATTTTTGTTGTTGTCAAGTGCCATGGAGTTGATTCCCACTCATATGGACCTGTATAGGGTTTCTGAGTCTTTAAATCACCAAGGGAGCCGAAAGCTTCGTTTTTCTCCCTCAGAATGGCTGGTGGAGTCGAACCGTGCACCTGTGGTTCGCAGTCCAGTGCTTATCATATGGAACCACTGCATTCCCCAAATGAGCATTAGAAGCCTCAGGTTCTTCCTAAGCATATTTTACTTACTGATCAGTTTTGAAGTACTTTTATTTGTACATGTAGAAATTGCTGATTGGGTTTATGTTCTGCTGCATATTATTTCTCAACAACAAAACAAAAGAATTTAAAAATATGTCTTTATTTAGCAAATTGGTCGGTTTAGCTCAAGTAAATTATTTGTGCACATTCTATATCTTTTCCTAATAAAAGGGATATTGCCTGATAGCTCTTCCATGAGGTCATTCATTCCTTGTCATGTTTATCTCTGTATTTCCTATTTCACAATGTCTTATATGAGGTACAGTACTTGACTGAAATTTGTAAAATGGATCAAATATTATTATGTACTTGAAGCTAACTCAGTTGTCTTGAACTAACATGGTTTTTACTAATCTGTTCTGCTCTTCACATTTTACTATACTTCAAAAAGCACACTGTACACACCCTTTCTTATCTTCTATGAATTAATAAGAAAACAAATGTTTTCTATAAAGTAAGTGGTAATCCATGGCACTCAAAGCCATCCCCAAATTTCTGGAAAGTGCTGTACAATTCCATGTTATTTAGGAGAATGGCGCCCCCTGGGGCCCTGCAATGTAGCAGCTAGTTCATTTCCTCTGGCTCAGACCCAAGAAAACCTAATTCATAAGAACATTTCCATTCTGCTGCAGGCAGAGATTTATGAGTCAGCATTATTTTTAAAAGATTACAAAGACCATTCTTCTTACAACAGAAAAGAATGAAGACACAGGATCTTTCGTTTATTCCTCCAGATGGTCAGAACAGAGACCAAACTTTATTTACAGTGTATAGCTTCTATACCGTTTAATGAATCAAAAAATGTAAGCATTTCTTTATATAGTTAATAACTGTCTTTGAAATTAAGAAGTTCACTGAGCAATTAAATGATTCCTCCCCCCGTATTTTGTAAATAAGGTAGCCATACTTTCTCTAGTGTATCTTAACATGTAATGTGTAATAACAAGATGAAGGTTCTAGTATCAAGTCTTCTAATTAGATGTATGGTCTTAGATAAGTCATTTGAGATCTCTGCCTTAATCCAGATCAAACAGGATCGATAATATGTATTTTTTAATTTTCCTTTTCAGGTTAATTGGCCCCAGGTTTTTTTTGAAACCTTTTTGTTAAGTTTCTTGGCCGTTCTTAACTTTTTTTTGATATTTGGTTGGCATTTTATAATTTAACCAAAATACAGATTATATACTATCAGAACTACAAAAACCCAGTAGTTATACAAGGGGCATTGAAATAGCAAAGCTAGTTATAATAAATCTATCCATATTCCCATTTAATTACATTAAGAAATAAAAATTATAAAAATAGGTAATTTTTCATGAAAATATTCCTATTTATTCTCTTAGGATTTCTTGCTCATATCAATGGGTTGTCTGGCATCGGCTACTGCATCAGGTACGCGAACAGTCATATTTTCCATAGACTTTGTCAAACAGATTTGGCAGCCCAGCCGTGACCTGTATGAAAAGGGAGGAAGGCATGTTTAGTATGAGGTAGACACTGTCCACAAGGCAAGGCAGCTGTTTAGGACATTTTTATATTTTCTTACCAAATTGTTTTGTTTGTTAAGTGCTGTCCAGTCAGTTCCGACTCATAGCTGCTCTGTATAGGGTTTTCTGAGGAGCAGCTGGCGGGTTTCAACAACTCACCTTGTGGATCATAGTCCAGAGTTGAGCCTCCAGCACCACACCAGTAGGAAAGTTATTTACCTAATAAATTCCCATTCATTTGAAAAGATATATTGAACTCAATCAACTACATAAAATAAAAACCTGGCATGCTAATGTTTCGGTTTAGCTTTTAGCATCTATCATCTACTAATCTCCCCACCAGAACCACTGCTCTTTCTTGTGAAATTACCGACAAGGAATGAAAATCATTAAAAGACACAACAGTGGAGACAAGAACTGAGTTCTTGACTAATCAATTTCTGGATAATTAAAACCAAGCAGACTTAAAAATCACCACTCCTCTGTCAGCTTGCTGTACTGTGGTATCTTGTGTCTTGCTGTAATTCTGAAAGCTATGCCACCGGAATTTGAAATACCAGCAGGGTCACCCATGGTGGACAGGTTTCAGAACAGCTCCCAGACTAAGACAGAATAGGAAGAAGGAGAGATAGACTACTTCCAAATATCCAGTCACTGAAAACCATATGAACAGCAGTAGAGAAAATGTGGCATCAGAGTTGGAGAAAGACTCATTAACAACCTGAAATATGCAAATGATAGAACTGTGATTGCCGAAAGCAAAGAGAGCTTAAATACTTACTGAAGATTGAAGATAAAGATTTAAGTTTGTAAAGGCAAAGATGTAAGGACTAAGGTGCACCTGACTCAAGCTATGGCATTTTCTATAACCTCTTATGCATGTGAAAGTTGGAAATTTAATAAAGAAGACCAAAGAAAAATTAATGTATTTGCGATATGATGTTGGAGGAGAATATTAAAAGTACCATGGACTGCCAAAAGACAAACCAATCTGTGTTGGAAAAAGTGCAGCCAGAATGTTCCTTAGAAGCCAGGATGGGCAGACTTTGCCTCTATATTAGAGGGACCAGTCCTTGTAGAAGGACATCATGCTTGGGAAAGTGGAGGGTCAGTGAAGGAGAGGAGATACATCCAACGAGATGGACTGGTCCAGTGGCAGCAGCAGTGGGCTCAAGCACAGCAACGACTGTGAGCCTGGTTCAGGGCCAGGCAACGTTTCGTTCTGCTGTGCATAGAGAGAATCGCTATGAGTCAACCCCGACTCGATGGCACCAAATAACAACAAAGTCTTTAAAAAGTGAAAAGACAGGACACAAACCAGGAAGAAATATTTGTTAGAAAACTTATCTGACAAAGGATTTGCCTCCAAAGTATAAAAAGAAATTTTAAAACTCAACAAAATACCCCAATTTTTAAAATGGGCAGAAGATCTGAACACACACCTCAGACCTCACCAAAGAAGATAGGCAGATGACAAATAATCACATGAAAAGATGCTCAATATCATATATCACTAGAGAAATATACACCAAAACAACAATAAGCTAACATCACAAACCTATCAGAATGACTAAAATACAAACACTGACAACAACAAATGCTGACGGAGACGTGGAGCAATAGAACTCTCATTCATTGCTGGTGGGAATGCAAAATGGAAGAGTCGCTTTGGAAGACAGTCCAACAGTTCCTTACAAAGCTCAACACAAGTTTATGATGTTGTTGCTCCGAATCATGGCAACCCCATGTACAACCCAAGGCAACACTGCCTAGTCCTGCACTATCCTCACAACTGTTACATTTGAGTATATTGTTGCAGACACCGTCAGTCCAGAAAGTTGAGAGTCTTCCTATTTTTCATGTTATCAAGCATGGTGCTTACCACATGATCCAATAGTTGTGCTTGTAGCTATTCATCCAAATCAGTCCAACATTTATGTTCACACAAAAACTTGCTCACATAAGTAAATCTAAAAACTGCTCTAAAAAATTAGTTTATTTAAAACAAAGACTTAAAAGACTATATAGGAAAACTACTTTGTGAAGACTTTAAAACAAGAAATTTGACGTAGAAAAAATTCAAAATTATTTTTTTTTAAATGGGGTTTACTTGTCCAAAAGAGACTGGAAGAAACTGAGACTATGGCCCTTGACCAGCCTTTAGGTCTGGAAAGGATCTCATCCTCGTAACCCAATTATCCATCAAGTTGTTGTTGTAGTTAAGTGCCATTGAGTCGGTTCTGACTCATAGCGACCCTATGTAGGGTTTCCAAGGAGCAGCTGGTGAGATTGAACTGCCAACCTTGCAGTTCAAACTGACTTGGCATTCCAGAGCATTAACCCCCACAATGCTACACTAGATCAGTCAAGTAGTAGATAGGTATATACGGAGAGAATACCACTAGTTAGGTATGCTTACCACAGAATTGTTCAAAAACAAATGGACAATATTTTCCTAAGAATAAAATTGAGCAGGATGGGAAGGCAGATGGAATGGAAACAGAAACCACTGGAGGTAGCAGAGTAACTGTTGTTACACGGAAGGGATTGCAGTCATTGAGATGAAACAAAGTGCATGATTTGTTGAATGTAAAACGATGATCTTTTATATAAATCTTAACTCAATTCACAATAAAGTTGGTTTTTTTTTTAAAAAAAGGAATTTTAAATACAAAAGAAATATACCATATATTACAAATTTAAAATATCTATTTTCCCCACATGAAAATCAATATTCATCTTAAAATGAATGATATCTTATAATCACTGCTACCCCCTGTCATATCTGAGGAAAAAGTTTTCTTCTAGCCAGGGGAGACAGTGTTTAGTATGGGTTCTGAACTCTGGGTAGAATTTTATATTTAGTAGTAAATAAGAAAAACATTTGAGTTCATGGTACTCTGAGGAAAGACAGATGTTTCCATTTGTCTGCTGCATCACAGAGGACAAAAACAGAGACAGGGATGGGTTGAAAAGCGGTCAGGGCCTTGGACAGGTTACAATACTTAAAAGTTCAGGTTTTAACTGGTAAGCAATGAGAGACCATTGAAAAATTTGGAGCAAGCAGACAAATTTACCAATAGGAAATATTGACTGCTGATTGAGAAAAATCCCCTTCCACCAACAGTTCCTATTTTTGGAATAAGAAGCAGCCCTGGAAATACAATACTCCATTATGCATTAAGTTCTGACTACTAGATAGAAAATGGGACAGGCTAATTTGAACAAATTTATCAGAATGGTGGTGAGCCCTTAGGGGCACTGTGGTTATTATATTCCTGGTGTTCCTTATAAAGTCAACAAAGACAATGCTAGTCTTAAAAAAACTTTAAATCTAGTAATGGAAACAATTGTCAGTAAAATGGGACAGAATACAATAAAGGTAGTGACAGAGAGTAAGAAGTGCGTCATAGAAACACAAAGAGAGGGCCACCAGGAGCTCCTGCTTGCTTTCTCACCCAAGAAGATAAAGCAATAGCTCTCTGTGGCTGTTTGCTAACTGTCCTGCTTCCTCTTCCTCCTTAAGAAGGCCTCTGGCTATATAAAACCACTCGGTACAGAAAACTAGTTGCCATGGAGTCTGAAGTCAACTCTGACTCATGGCCACGCCAGGTGTGTCCGAGTAGAACTGTGCTCCATACGGTTTTCAGTGGCTGATTTCTCAGAAGCCTATCTCCACACCTTCCTTCTGACATGCCGCTGGGTGGGACTCCAGCCTCTTACCCCTTCCAATTAGCAGCCAACCACACTGATGACTTGCATCACCAAGGCCCCTGCCCTGTGTATAAGGTATCTTATACCTATTGAAGAGATAGTGAATGAAGGTTCGAGGCCAGACCACCACAAAAAAATAATTATCGCAATAAAGCAAATCACATGACATTTTGGGTTCCCTGGTACACACATAAGTTATGTTCAGACTGTAAAGTAGTTTACAAGTTTGAAATAACATCATGAAAAAATTTGTAATAGTGTGAGAATGATGCACAATGTTGCCAATAGATTTGTTCAACGTAGGGTTGCCACAAACCTTCAATGTGTGAAAAAAACAAAACAAAACCCAAACACAGTATTTATGAAGTGCAATACAACAAGGTATGCCGAAAGGCTATTTACACTTCTAGGAAAAAAGGCACAAAACAAAGCTACCAGGAGCGTTTGTCCAGCAGCCAATCCTCCTTAAAACAGGCAGTACACACCCTGCACAGTGACAGGAACACAGCCAAGCTCCCCGCTCCCCGCCCCAGCTACACGCAGCATTCATTAAGCAGTCAAAGATTTCAAATACCATATGTGACTATTATTTAAGATTTGGATTTCTGGTGTGGCACTGTAAAGTCAGCAGTTCAAACCTACTAGCTGCTCCTTGGAAATCCTACACGGGGTTGCTATGAGTCAGGACCAACTTGAGGGCACTTAACAACATGTTATTTGGTATGATTTGGTAGGCTGATTTTTGGGTCTGGGGACATGCAAACATTTTCCCCAAGCAAATTAATGTTAACTGCTTCTTTGCTTTACGCCATTTCGGCTTACGAAAGATTTCATAGGAACCCTCTACTTCTGGGGGTAGCGGGGAGGAGAGCTATATTAGTTTGAGAATATTCTGATACTTGTGCAAATATTAAAGACATTTATTTTCTCACTCCACTCTTGCCATATATATCTGGAAATATGTTGAACATCCAGTTTACTTTACTTCCATGATTTGATATTCTAGAGAAACAGTATGAAATAGTAAAAAACCCAGTGCTTTGGGGCCCAACATAGATGACTCCAGCTCGACTCTGAGCAGCCTGAAACACATCTCAGATATTGAATAAACCTTGGATTCTCAACCTCATTGCTGTTGTTCGATGTTGGGGAGTCCATTTCACTCATGCTGGTCTTACGGGTGTAGAGTAGAACTGTTCTATTGGGTTTTCAAGGTTGTGACCTTTTAGAAGACCACAGGCCTTACGTTCCAA